GCTTATGAGTTGTAAAAGTCATGGAGTCTTCTTTTATTCAGGGTGAAGAATGTTGATGTCTGACGTTCACACAGTGAGTGCAAGAACCTTGGGTAAGAATGTTTGTTTGAATGTTTTGTCTTCATGGTATATAAACACACACTGCAGAACCTTCTGTGTTTGGAAGGCCAAATAGAAAGTGGATTTATTTCTGTAGATGAAAGATCGCTATGTTGGTCAATGTAGATGGTGAAAAATCGACCCTTTCGGACGTTACAGTTACATTGGCAGGTATTGATTGTCTGATTAAATTACTGCAACATGTTGGGAAATGTGAAATGTGGCTGAGAATAATGGGGCAGGACAATCCATCAGTGCCCTTAGCTCTGTTTGGACTGTCCCATAGATCTCAGTTTGGAGCAGTTATGAAGATGTGCGGTTGGGAGGAACAACTCAAAGGGTTTATTTTAGTTTGAGCATTAGTTACTGCAGAAATTATAAAAAATTGCAATATGTTGCATTTTACCTTTTGTGCAGAAAATTTTTTGAATCCTAAATATAGAAAATGTCTTATTAAACAAATTTATGTACCAGAAAGTTTCACATTGTTTCTACAATTTTTCTGACCTGATTTCATATGCATCTTAACTTCTTATTGATCTGTTCAATATTTCATAATATTCTGGATAACAAAATGTGTGTTTCTGGCAGTGGTTATAGCAGTCATGACAGATTAGTAAACGTTGCGTCTGGGAGAATGTTTTGTGAAAGCTTGTGCTGCCCTCTAGCGGTTAAATACCTCACACTCATCTTCGCGATTGCCTTTGTCTTTCACGTTTCTCACCAGCAGAGGGCGATCTTGTTGCTTTGGAGCGAATCATGAGAGAAACGTACTGCTATAATTTGGCTGAGTATGGAACACACACACACACACACACACACACACACACACACACACACACACACACATTTTTTTATTATGACAACAAAAGAAACAGCTTTAATTGCGAAAGAAGCTTGTCAGGTTTCCATAGAGATGTAGGATGGTGGAGGGAGGATTTGTTTTATTTTTAATTCATGGATCTTTGGGGGGATTTTTGTTGTTCTTGTTTATGACCAACCAAACTTTAAAGCTGCTGCTAACTTGAGATGAAGTATAATGCTGTCACAAACTAGTGAAGAAATGTCATCTCATTTATTAAATCCACACTTTTTTTTAAAAAACCATGCCGAGTTGTATTCATTTAAATGTCTCATTCCTCTGTGTGCTTTTAGGCCACAAATACTTGATTGTCTGATTAAAGTGCTGCATTTCTAAGAGTTATTTTTAGGATGTCCGATAATCTCCTTATTGGCTGTTTTACTGGTGATAATTAAGCTGGCTGATCTCTATCTGCAGCCTATTAAAACGTGATAATTGCTCCTAGACACATTCTCCAATAAAATTAAGTAACTTTGTCCCAAAAGAAACTGTCAGAATGTTTAGGGTTTTTTAGAAATGTAACAAACATGACAGATCACTTGTCTCATGGTTATAAACATCATGTACAGGTGCTGGCCAGTAAATTAGAATATCATCAAAAGGTTGAAAATATTTCAGTAATTCCATTCAAAACGTGAAACTTGTACATTATATTCATGCAATGCACACAGACCAATGTATTTCCAATGTTCATTACATTTAAATTTGATATTCATAAGTGACAACTAATGAAAACTCCAAATTTGGTATCTCAAAAAATTAGAATATTCTGAAAAGGCTGTATATAGAAGACACCTGCTGCCACTCTAATCAGCTGATTTACTCAAAACACCTGCAAAGGCCTTTAAAAGGTCCCTCAGTCTTGTTTTGAAGGCACCACAATCATGGGGAAGACTTCTGACTTAACAGCTGTCCAAAAGACAATCATTGACACCTTGCACAAGGAGGGCAAGACACAAAAGGTGATTGCTAAAGAAGCTGGCTGTTCGCAGAGCTCTGTGTCCAAGCACATTAACAGACAGGCAAAGGGACGGAAAAAATGTGGTAGAAAAAAGTGTACAAGCTCTAGGGATAACCGCACCCTGCAGAGAATTGTGACGACAAACCCATTCAAAAATGTGGGGGAGATCCACAAAGAGTGGACTGCAGCTGGGGTCAGCGCTTCAAGAACCACCACGAGGAGACTCATGAAAGACATGGGATTCAGGTGTCGCATTCCGTGTGTCAAGCCACTCTTGAACAAGAAACAGCGCAAGAAGCGTCTCGCCTGGGCCAAGGACAAAAAGGACTGGACTGATGCTGAGTGGTCCAAAGTTATGTTTTCTGATGAAAGCAAGTTCTGCATTTCCTTTGGAAATCAAGGACCCAGAGTCTGGAGGAAGAGCGGAGAAGCACAGAATCCACGTTGCATGAGGTCCAGTGTAAAGTTTCCACCGTCAGTGACGGTGTGGGGTGCCATGTCATCTGCCGGTGTTGGCCCACTCTGTTTCCTGAGGTCCAGGGTCAATGCAGCCGTCTACCAGGAAGTTTTAGAGCACTTCATGCTTCCTGCTGCTGACCAACTTTATGGGGATGCAGACTTCACCTTTCAACAGGACTTGGCACCTGCACACAGTGCCAAAACCACCAGCACCTGGTTCAAGGACCATGGTATCCCTGTCCTTGATTGGCCAGCAAACTCGCCTGACCTTAACCCCATAGAAAATCTATGGGGTATTGTGAAGCGGAGGATGCAATACGCTAGACCCAACAATGCAGAGGAGCTGAAGACGACTATCAGAGCAACCTGGGCTCTCATAACACCTGAGCAGTGCCACAGACTGATCGAGTCCATGCCACGCCGCATTACTGCAGTTATTGAGGCAAAAGGAGCCCCGACTAAGTATTGAGTGCTATACATGCACATTCTTTTCATGTTCATTCTTTTCAGTTGGCCAACATTAGAGAAACAAACATTTTTTCATTGGCCTTTAGAATATTCTAATTTTCTGAGATACCAGATTTGATGTTTTCATTGGTTGTCACCTATAAATATCAAATTTAAATGTAATGAACATTGGAAATACATTGGTCTGTGTGCATTGCATGAATATAATGTACAAGTTTCACGTTTTGAATGGAATTACTGAAATATTTTCAACCTTTTGATGATATTCTAATTTACTGGCCAGTACCTGTATGTCTGCAGAAATGCCTGGTTCAAGTTCAAATGATAGCATGAACATGATGACTAAACAAACTGGAGATGTTTGATTATAGTGACTTTGTTTCCTGTTGGGAAGCTTTTCCCACACCATGGTGTGGGAAAAGTTTAGTAATTAGAAATATATATTATATATAATTATATAAATATAATTATAAATATTACTAAACTACACTCACTGTCCACTTTATTGGGTACACTTGTCCAACTGCCCATTAATGCAAAATGCTAATCAGCCGATCAAATATTTTTTCATACATTTATGCATGTTGTCATGGTTGAGACGATCCGCTGCAGTTCAAACCGAGCTTCAGAATGGGGAAGAATGATGTTTAAGTTACTTTGAATGTGGCATGGTTGTTGGTGCCAGACGGGCTGGACTGAGTATTTCAGAAACTGCTGATCTTCTGGGATTGTCACACACAACCATCTCCAGTGTTCACAGAGAATGGTCCGAAAAAGGGGAAAAAAATCCAGTCTGCAGCTGTTCTGTGGGCGAAAAAGCGTTATTGAATCTTGAGGCAGATGGGCTACAACAGCAGAAGACCACACCGGGTGCCGCTCCTGTCAGCTAGGAACAGGAAACTGAGGCTACAATTCACAAAGGCTCACCAACATTGGATGATTGAAGATTGGAAAAATGTTGCCTAGTTTGATGAGTCTCAATTTCTGCTGCAACATCCAGATGGTAGGGTCAGAATTTGGCATCAACAGCATGAAAGCATGGATCCATCCTGCCTTGTATCAACAGTTCAGGCTGGTGGTGGTGGTGTAATGTGGGGGGGGGGGGGGGGGGGGGCATTTTCTTGGCACACTTTGGGCTCCTTAGTACTAATTGATCATCATTGCAACACCACAGCCTACCAGAGTATTGTTGCTGACCATGTCCATCCCTTTCATGACCACAGTATACCCGCCTTCTGATGGCTACTTCTAGCAGGATAATGCACCATGTCATAAAGCTCAAATCTTCTCAGACTGATTTCTTGAACATGACACTGAGTTCACTACTCTAAGGACCTCCACAGTCACCAGATCTCAGTCCAACAGAGCACCTTTGGGATGTGATGGAACGGGAGATTCGCATCATGGATGTGCAGCCGACAAATCTGCAGCAACTGCTGATGCTATCATGTCAATATGGACCTGAATCTCTGAGGAATGTTTCCAGTACCTTGCTGAATTTATGTCACAAGGATTAAGGCAGTCCCGAAGGCTAAAGTGGGTCCAACCCAGTACTAGCAAGGTGTACCCAATAAAGTGGCCTGTGAATGTATATTTTACTATATTTACACAATTTATGATTTTTTTTTAATAAATTGAACTGTAAAGTCTACATATTAATACACTTTTAATTTGGGTGATGTAATTCCCCTTGAATTTCAGATTAAATGGTTACAATAAAAAATTCTTGTGAAATAACCGACAAAGATCCAAGTTTGTGAAAATTCAGGTAAAAACAACAAATACAAGCTGAATTAAAATATTAACACAATTTTGTGCGTTCCTTCTATTGTGTGATAAATGACTTGCACATGCATATCACCTGTCTGAGTCAGCGGACTTCAAAGTGCTTTACACTTCGGTGAATCGTTCATCCATTCCCACACTGGTGGTGATGAGCTACAATGTTGCCACAGCTGCCCTGGGACACACTAACAGGAGAGAAGCTGCCAAACAGGCTCCACCAGCCCCTCTGACCACCACCATCAGGCAGGGAGGGTGAGGTGTCTTGCTAAAGGACACAACAACTGACACGGACTGGGTTCAAACTGGCAACCTTAACCCATGAGCTAACGGCGCCTCAGGACAAATTGAAGTTGAAAACTTATAAAATAACTTTGAACATCTTTATTTTATAAGCAAACTTGTCCATTTGTACCTTTTAAACAGTCGGTGAAAAGAATCAAAATCATTTTTACAAGATGTCGTCCTCAGAAATTAAAAGCACAGCAGCAGAGGAAGACAATGAGGACAGAAGCTTTAAAATAACTCACATGAAAAATGTTCCTTAATAGACAACATTTTACATTAAAAAAACTCAGACTGTATGTTTCCCTCCTTTGGTTCAATAGAGCATTACTGTAAGAGACTTACATTCATCCTGAGTCCCTCACTGCAACACGTTCAGTTTTTCTGAATGATGAAGTACGTTGTAAAACCTGCTACAGATACGTTGTGTGCTACATCCATTTAAGTCGATTAAAATTTTGAAAAAGTATCTTTTTGTCAGAGTGCTGATGTGTCCATGTAACACACTCCACTCCAAACCCCTCCATCTAGTAAAAGTATTTGTATGATCCAATAAACCACATCTCTGACATCACTGGCCAAAGGTCTTTAAGGCTTTTTCAATAGAAAAGTAGAATGACATCTTTCAGTTGTGGCATGAAAATGTTTTGTTTGCATGACTAAAGCAGAAATTAAAGGCTGTAACTTCACTAAAACCATGCAATCATTGCAATAGTTAAAAACAATTCTGTCTAAACTGTAGAAAGTTGTATGCAGCATTCATGCATTGACATTGTGCGCTTTACATTCTCTTTAGCATGCTTTTCACTTTCATGCAAGCAAAATGGCAGGATTAGCTTCACATGAATGAACATAGAAAACGAAACACTCGTGCTTTGCAAAGAAAATCACTTACAACAGCCAAAACATGCACAGGAATATGTTTGTGACGATGTCGTTTTCAGTCTTCAAACTGAATTTCTCCTTATCTGGGGGAACTCCTGAAAGCTATGCCCAGGTGACAGTGTGCTTCCAGGAGAGGACAGTCCAGTGTTGTCCCTGGATCTTGGTGAGTAGCCTTGGATCTTATAAGAAACTGAGTTGTAGTACACAGGGTTTATGTGGCAGCCGTGGGGTTCACCGCGTGTCACAAGAGGGCTGTCACAAGCCTCTAAGCGGTAACACACACAGGAGGAGCACAGAGAGCTGAGGCTTGTCTCATGCAGCCTCTGCCTGCATGGGCTTCCTCGAGTTCCCGGATCCTCTGCTGGGAAGGAAATGAGGTTGGTGCGACTGGTTCCTTCCTGCATAGGGAGGAAAAGTGTGCTGTGGCTGTGACTGTGCACCATAGTTCCCTTATTCCTCTCTCGGTGGTTGTCTCTGCTTTGTTCTCCTATAACATGGAGGCTCAGAGCCCCCCCCAAAAGGCCTCTGTCTCTCCTCAGTGATGCTCTCTCCTGAGCATCACGTCTCTCATCCTCCGTGTTCATGGTGAGGAAACGCAGCACCACCAAGTTAAGAAAAGCCCCTATCACAGTTAACCCCACCAGAATGTACATGAAACTGAATGCCACATAGGGTGTCTTTTTCTGCAGGTCCTCTTTTTTCTGCAGGGCTACAAAGTCCCCAAAGCCAATAGTGGTGAGTGTAATGAAGCAGTAGTAGTAGGCATGGAAGAAGCTCCATCCTTCAAAGTGGGAAAAGGCTGCAGCTCCCACACACAGAGTTCCAATGCAGGACAGCAAGCCCACTAGGACCATGTTCTCCATGGACACCTCTGTGTGGTGAAACCCAAAGCACTGCTTTATCTTGTGCAGAAGATAGCGAACAAACGTGTTCATCCTTTCACCCAGGCTCTGGAACATGACCAGGGTGAGAGGGATGCCGAGAACTGCATAGAACATGCAGAAGACTTTTCCTGCATCTGTGCCTGGTGCAGCGTGTCCGTAACCTGCATGCAGAGAGGTGGAGAGAGGAAGGAGCACGTTGTGACCTGGCTTGGATGGTAGACCATGAGGAAAGTGTTTTATTTTTTATTGTTTCTTTTGGGAAAATAATCATTTCAACAAAAACAATCTGTTATTTACATTTTTTGTAATAACAAAGTTAAACGTTCAGAACTTACCAATAGTGGTGATGACTGTTATAGCAAAATAAAAGGAGCCAGCGAATTTCCACTGTCTCCCGGCGCGGTGCGGCTCAGCCTGCAGCACCACGCGCTCGATTTCACGGTAGTCGTCCTCAGAGAAGCGGTACTTCTTCTTCATCTCGCTGCGCTTCTGCTCCAGCACGCGCCTACGGGAGCTCTCAGTCTCGGACTCCAGCGCATCAAACACCGCGGCGCCGACCAGCAGGTAGGAAAACATGCAGAGGATGAGCGACAGGGTCCGGACGTTTTGCTTCTTCATCCTCGGCGTCGGCATGAGCTGGAGGCGCAGTTACAGGTGGCACATCGGTGTTGCAGCCTGTTGCGTGGAGACGGGAGAGGCTGAAGATCAATCTGGAAGCTGGCGTTTTTGCTTCGTGTTTGTGTGAAATATCTGCTGGCTTTAATGTGGCCATCTGTTTAAGCGAGTGGCATCGGAATACTTGTTCGCATGCGCGAAGCAGTCACCAATAAAAGACCGAGTGTGTAGGAGTGTGTTTAGGGAAGAATTCAGCACCATGGACAGCCACCAGCAGGACAACAACTAAAACCAGGGCTCAGCACCGAACACAACATCAGATTTATGTTAATCGGCTTCAACCTGCATTATCAATAAATAATAATGTTTTTAAACTAAAGCTCAGTTTACAGAAATACCCTAGCCACTTTAAAACTAGTCATTTTAAAATGTATAATATGATGTGGCTAATTACATTCAATGACAAAAAAGCCATTAAAACTAAAAGAAACGTTTTGACAACATAAGTAGAATTGATTAGAAGTTAAAAAGCAAAATATCACAGTTTTAGTCCTTGTGCAGTATTTTGTGAGACCCAAGTACGCTTTAGTTCGAGAAAAAAACGGCCAGATGGTTTAAAGGTGTAGTATGTAAGAACCAGTTGCCACTGATGCACCTGCAGCCTCTCAGAGTTTCTGCTGCTCTAAACATTAAAATAATTATTTCATTTTCTGTTCCTCACTTCTGATTACCTTCTGTTTGTTGCAACCACCAGGTACAAAAACTAACGTGTTTTTATTTGACTATGTTTCTGTCCTGTCTCTGTTTATCATCTTCCTGCATCTCCTCTCAATCCTAAAGAAAAACTGCTACCTGACTTCATATATATTCACCTTACGAGTTACCTTTGAACTGCAGTTCTAAAGGATCTACCGACCGCAAAAACAGTGGAGTGCGCGCTGCGCGCCGGCCGCACCAGTGAGGTGCGTCACCAGAGGACAAAACAGGTGATGTGCCCCGCTCCACAGCAGCGAAACGCATCAGGCACAAATAAAAGACAGAAAACATAAAATGAAATGAGCCGACACGAACGATCGCGTGTTTTTGAGGTGGCGACACCTAATTTGATAATGTTACTGTGTGGCCTTGCTCAGGACGCAGATGTCTGGAGTGCGTCAACGATCAGAGCTTTGCATGCGCAAGCTGGTTAAGGTTATGATGGGGGTGAGGGGAATGTTAAATTGCAAGATGGTAAAGGTCACAATTCGGTCAATTGTCTGTTTTAAAGGCGGGCATCAGATAATGACGCTCTGGCACAGAGCGTCACCTCCCGACGCGCAGGGGCTCATCACCTGCTGTCTTTTCCGTGGACTGCATCTTGTCAGTCATTATCACGTGACAGCGACTCGTCGATGAAAGACATGAAAAGTCACTAGAGCAGTGAATTTGACTAGTCGACTAGTTGATACAACCCCTACCCACCAGTCTCACAAGTAGGGGAAGAAAACTATAGGAATCTCAAAATACTTAAAAAAAATACATTAAACAATCTAAAAATCCAAGCAGACTATAAGTGCCGTGTATAATCTGCATTTAAGTATAGTTTCAAAATGTTCTCAAATTATTTGCAAGACCAAATCGTCTTGTGATGTATCTCCTGTTTCTTTTGGGCGCAGTAATCTCTAACATAGACCTACGCTAACTGGTGCATGCGTGCTGGATCCCCCACACAATACAAAGAATAGGAGAGCCTTTGGGTGCAGGTGTTTAGCGACTTTGAAGACATGTGCAGAAGACCAGCAGGGCAAAGTCTCCACTCAGGTCTGGACAGAACCGAAAACTCTCCACAGTTAACTTTCCTTTGTTGATGTACAGCAGCTGAGTATATTAGAGACTTGTAAACAGTCCAGCAGGTAAAGAAAAAGCACAAAAAGCTGCTGAGTGTGATGTTGGGACATTGAATTACAGAACCAAGTGGGTGTTTTTTTTTTTTACTAAAACATGGATTATTACAACCAAAAATGTACTAAGTAAGACTAAATTTACACTTTTGTCTTCATGAAATGACCTTTGTTTGTTTTGCATATACAGTAATGGTACTTATATTGTTGTAAAAAGGAAAGTCTGGGCTTCAATTTCAACTGCTGATTCTGTGGATTGGATCATATGGCATTGTTGCTAATGTGTGTTTTTCTCAATATGTCTATGAAGCCTTTTTTCAACCTTTTATTTAGTGACATTGTTAAAATAGAAAATGTGGATTCTGTCATCATGGTAATTTGCCATCCCCCAAGTAGTGTGTGGTTAGCGCATCTAACAGGTGGCATGACTGCACCCCAAACCTCCAAAAAAACAAACCAACCAAAAAAAAGTCACCAGCCGCTACTGATTACAATATAGTGAGAGTTTCAGAGTGAGAAAATCCAAAAAGAGTCTAATATTCCAGTCATTTTGAAAGGAAGGTTATACTAAAACATATTTCATATCCAGCTGGCTGACACATAGGTATCTTGAGAAAATATACTGTTAATCACAGTTAGTTCACCATTCATTTTCTGTGTTGATTTCAGTCATAAAGAAATCATCCAGTGCCATGATCTCTGATAAAACTTTAAAAGATAAATCTTCTAAATAAGTGTGGTGTTAATTGTTTTTTTTTGTCACAGTAGATGAGATGGTGAGGAAAATTCAGATTGATATTCAAAATAATTTGTACAGCACCTTGGAATTGTGCGTAACTGTTTTCCTAACAAAAAGAAAAGAAAAGAAAAGAAAAGAAAAGAAAAGAAAAGAACTGCTATTCATTAAAATCTGAAATCGCATATTTTTTAACACAGTGAGAAGAAAAAAAATCTTCAGAGGAAGTACTGAGTCATAAGATGGGGAAAAACATCCCCATTATTCAATATTTTGAGGAAAACCATGAAACAATCATTTTGACAGGTATTTAGCATCGACATATATACTGGACAATTCATTTCCATAGGCTCCAATAACACGTTTTTGAGGCCAAATGGGAGGTGGCCACCACCGCCATTTTGACCGTGTCACAGGATCCGTCAAGCCCAGACAATTCCACAACAGGGAAGAGAGGAGGAGCTGAGGGTGTGGCAGTAAGGCTGGGATCAACTGACGACACCCGGTCGAACTAGCTACAAGCTAATCTGAAGCTAACCCAAAGCTAACGCGGAGGTGGAAGCTAAGCTAACGGAGGTAGCAACCTAGCTACAACCGGAGTTAGCTGTGCACAACACCAGAGCTTCTGAGTCAGAGATACGCCGGTCTGACCGCTGGGTAAAACCAGGTGGAACACAGAGGTCTTCGAGAGCTCCACAAGCCTGCAGCCGCACAGCAGACAAGCGCCGCTGCGATCTGAGATGCGCAGAGCTGCCGCTGGGGAGAACCGGGTGGAAAGGTTTCCATCCCAGAGCTCCACAAGCCGGCAGCCCGCGCGCAGCTCACAGAAGCCTCGATCAGACAGAGATGCGCCGAGCTGCGGGGAGGGGAGAAAGGGTGGAAAACAGAGGTCTCCCGAGAGCTCCACAAGCCAATAGTCGGATCCCAGCTCCACCAACATGTTATATTTCAACCCATTTTCTAAAGTGCAGCATTATGTTAAATGCACTGGGTTTTACTCTATTACATTTAAAGTTCATGGTTAAACAGTACATGTTAAAATCTAAGCTCAGCTCAGCAGTGACCTAAACTACATAAATATAATTTTACTTACCGAAATAAATGAAGTGAAGACTCCTTGGATGCTCTATTAGTGCAATTAACGCCACAGCAAGTCATTTTGTTCAACAATTGCACAAATAATATCCAAACAGAATACACAAACACACAGAGACTCAAAATCCTCGAACAGTTTCCAGGCCAGACCGAGGCTCTACTGAGGCCTTTCCACGGAGCTAGCTCTGTGGTCACGTGGGTCTGGGGAGGCGGTCACGTGGGTCGGATGATCATTAATTATATAGAATTTTAGGCTTTTATTACACTTAAACAGAAGAGTGAGAAAAAAAATTCACCCCCCTCAGAGTTGTCATGAGTGTAAACTAGATCATTTAAACTAAAAACATGTTTTGGTACCAGGCTGTAAACATGTTTATTTCTGCTGTGAAATTGGTATTTTTAACATGGGAGTCAATGAGGATTTGCTCGCTTTCTGACACCAGCCCCCAGCGGATGAGAGTGGAACTGCAATTTTTGGTACTTCCGAGTTGGCCTCAATTTTTGAGCCGCATTGTGGGGGCTTGGTATTTAGATGACATATTTTTTTACTGAATTGGATTTTTTTATTTGCTTTCTAAATCTTGACTTTGTGTGTGGTTACCGCCATAAGATCATGGACAGAGTGGCTGAGGTGAACTAGAGACCGCTTCCCTCCATCTTTCCTTACTGTAAGGTGATGCAGGTTGCCATGGTGACTGCGTGTCAGTCTGAAGCGAATACAGGTGCAATGATCCTGGTCCTTGCCTGGTGAATTAGGCTGTCAGTGCATCATAACCGTTCTTTCAGTGACAGAGAGAGGAAGCAGATACACACTCTGCATGTGTGTGTGTGTGTGTGTGTGTGTGTGTGTGTGTGTGTGTGTGTGTGTGTGTGTGTGTGTGTGTGTGTGTGTGTGTGTGTGTGTGTGTGTGTGTGTGTGTGTGTGTGTGTGTGTGTGTGTGTGTGTGTGTGTGTGTGTGTGTGAAAGTGGGGTATTGCAGCTCCATGAGAATTGCAGGAGGATTATTATGTGCTCTTTTGTTTCTGTCATGCAGAGCAGGGTGAGCTCTGTGCTCCTGTTTTCACCTTAAGTGGCTAAATCAGCACACTTACGACCCTGCTTGGATTCAGCCAGCTCTCCATAAATCAATTACATCTCAGGTGATAAGAGAGGAACCTGGTGCTCTAACAGCCACAATCAATCCAGACAGCTTCAGTCTGCATCCTCTTCTAAGCCCCAGGAACAAAGTGAGGGGAGGGCTTTAGAGACTCAAAGAGACAGATGCTTTGTCAAATGAGTTCTGCTATCTCCGTTCCTGATGAGGTGTATTGCATCATCATCACATAAAAATATATGTAATATAACAATGTAACACATGCTGTTGAATTATGTAAACCCAATTCAGAGAGATATTATCTTTATCCATTCATTCATCCATTCATTTTCAGCCGGTTATCCAGGGTTGGGTCATGGTGGCAGTGGCCAAAGCCGAGAGGCCCATACTTCTCTTTTCCCAGCCATTAGGCCAGCTCCTCCAGGGTAATCCTAAAGCATTCACTGGCCAGCCGAGAAATAGAGTCCCTCCAGCACGCCCTGGGTCTTCCTTTAGATCTTCTCCCAGTTGGACGTGCCCGGAAAACCATTGAGTCAAACCAATGAAGGTGTCCACACTAAATTCTACCCTTTTCCGTTTCAAGCTGAAATAGTGCACGCTCCCAAGTATTTTGGACTGTATTGTTATTAGAAAGTTTATTGTTTGTTTTGTTTTTGTCGAAAATGTTAGCCTACGTTTGGAAACATGAAGTGCATTTACACTTTTCCCCATAGAGATTTCTCTCAGAATCACAATGACACCCTAAAGCCTGAGTCACGCTTCTGTGTCAGTGCGGAGACACGCAACGTCATTATCCATCATTGCGGGCGTGCTGGAGAGCCCCCGTAAGGACGGACGGAGTCAAGCTCTCTTTTCTAAACATCTGTCCATCGAGATGGAGAACGCAAGCTTGTGATTGGTCAGGGCACCGCTGTCGTCTACACCGTCACCATTGCGCCCTCAAAAACATAAAGAGAGCCGAGGATATCTAGCGGCTGACTCGGAGAAGCTTGAAGAATACCTCGCAAAAAAACTCTAAAACCATGAAAATTTCATTCCCCTGTGACTGGAGGAGTGAAATGATACGCAGCAAGCATTTTATTTGTGGACGGAAATGACAGGAAACATGGGTTTAGTGGTGGCGAGCGCATGAAAAGGTGAAGGAGAATGAGAGACAAATTTGTCTGTGTTAAAAAGCCTCTTATATACAAATAACACAATATAAACACACTATCTTGGACACATGACAGGATACCACAGAACAGCGCTACGCCCTCTGTTGTCCTGGCGGGTAATTGCTTT